TCAAATAGAACCCGCCAACGTAACTATACTGTATTAGCTGTTTTTACAATTTTCATTGCTGAAATTGAATGGTGAAATAGTACACTCAAGGTCAGTCGACTACTACAAGAAAATTCCTGGGGCTAGGTTGCTATCACGGTATCGATTAAGGAAGAATAGCGGATCTTGAAGATAATTAAAATATTGTTGATAGTGTCTCAAGTTAAACTATAGCCAATGTGTATATTACGTGGATCTAATATGAGTAGAAATGTATAATTTGAATAAACAACAGCAATGCAATGCAAAAGTGACCTTAGTCGTGAGTAGGTTACTACGATCACTTTAAAAAATTGGTTATGAATGATTTTTGAATAGAATAATGATTAAAATTATTATATTGTAGGAGTTTTTGACGTTTTTAAAATTTGAATACCAAATACGATTCTTCAGAGAAAATAATTACATAAATTATATATTGCATAAATTGTTCTCATAACTATGTCACAAAAACTATTGGTGATGATTTGATGTATATTATGTTTTTTTTTGTTTAAATTATTAGCTTTGAGTTTTAGTTTTCACTTTAGTAAACAATTTTATTATATTAAGCTACATAAGCAATCTATATAAATGTTATTTATAAAGATGGTGTCACTGATGCAAGATAAGTTTAACACCAACAAATTTATGTTCGACGAATTGGCATTACACTACGTGTACCTTCTATTAATATAATTAACCATTTTTAATTAAATTTTTAAATGACAATTAGGACTCGTAACAGACCGTTGAACAGTTTTGTAATATATGTAAAATTACTACCAGATAGATTAAATGTATTATATTATATAGGCAACACTTTCCACTTTTTCACTTTTACTATTTTACTCGTACTTTCGGATTTTATTCTGTTAGAACTATTATGAAATCCAAAAAATGGAGGGTCAAACACATTTACGGTCGTTATCCATCTATATTATATATGCTACCAGATATTATTGGCAAAAATGTTTTGAATTATTCATATATTTTACAACTAAGTCTCTTTTAATGGATCATGCATACATTTAAGAAATACGTGTTTGTTCGAATAGTATCTAAAAAATACTGAAATATAAATATGATATAATAGCGGATTTAACTGTTGTACCTATTATAATTAGATTGTCCAATTAACATGTAGTTATTTTGAATGTTAATAGGAGTTCTTTACTATTGTGTTTGTAATTGTATTCTTAAAATAACGATTTCATACCATGTATCGTATACGTGATATTAATAGTTATATATAGCTATGCTATGCTGAACCATAACTTTATTTGTTACTCTACTATTTACTAAAAAATTCCAATAATTGATCTTTTTCGTTGAGTGGTTATATTCGGTTTGAGCAATGCCAAATATGATATAACTGTAATAATATTTTATCTTGCCATATTCGACGTTTTACCCTTTTTAGACTAGTGTTGCTTAAGTATACCTAAAATAGTATTTATTTACAACTGGCAGCGATTAGGAATTTTGCATTTAATAGTCATTCTCGTCAGAGTAATGAAATGATATAGTCAAGTTATCTGTTGTACATACAAAGTTAATCTATAAAACTATCTTTTAATATAACATTTCATACTACCTACTTGTATTAATCTACATGGATTTTATTTTTATAGTTGTAAACATTTATGTGGGTTAACTTGTATTTATTCACTCAGTTTTCGTTAAGCATTGTTAAGCATTTAATCAGTCGATGCTTATTGATTAACACGTGTTTTTTAGACATGGCCTAAAATCAATTTTGAAGTATATTTTAAGGTAGGCACAAATAAGCACGGTAGTATGTTGGTTTATTAAAAAAATATACATATATTTCTGAAATAAAACTAGCTTATCTAAAGATGTTGATTACCTATTATAAATTCGAAATGAAGGCCGAAGGGATATCTATGTGGCCAAGATGCCTCTAAGCATTAGTATAAATAGGAGAGATATAGAAACTGCCTGTTGTGTTTTTATCATTGAGGTTAATTTACTTATAATCAAAATGTATTTGTTGTCAGATAACTTAACACTCCAGTAGTAATCGGGGACGCTAATTTTGACTTAAATGTTTTAAAATACAATGACATTTGACATTATTAGTTAATGCGTATTATTTAAAAAAAAGACAAGAGCTGGCCTCTTTGAATTTTCTCGCCTGGGGTCATTTTAACGACACACAACAGGAACAAATAAGAAAACCAGATTTCACAGTCGATTACTACGTAAGAACCTGACCTGTTTCAATGTCTTAACCTTGGGATAATTTTTAAGTATTACTGATGCCGTACAGTATTACTTTTATTCAAATTTCTGGAACTAAAACTTTTTTATAAGATGTGGTGAATTAAAAAATATTTTTAGAATAATATTTGAAAAACTATGAATGTTATGGATAAAATGAGGTAAAAGATTAATAATAAATTAAAAAATAAAAACGCTTTCCTGTTATTATAGAGGCGTTCTGTGATCAATTTTATTTAATTAAATTATTATAATAATGTACAATTCATCAATAGATTTTACTCTGAACGGTCATCGGTCAAAACTAGACTAGTTTAGGTACGGGAAGTAACACTTTATTCATTATGAAACAAACTAGTTGGGTAGTTTGCAAAAAAAACACTTTGCTAACATCACCATAACACTTGACAATGAACTTAGTATTACAATAACTTGTACAAAATACGTTTATTGTATTTTATTATAATAATATTATGTTTATCAATTGTAGTACAAATATAATCTATTAGTCTATAATTATTCTTAAATCAAAATTTAATTTTTACGTCTAAATTCTACTCTTTCCAACACACTAAATTATAACAAAATACGCCTAATGTGACTCACATAAGAATTTTATTTTGTGTTATTCACAAAAGAAAGTATTCTTTGGTTGTCCAACATTATAAATTGGTTTTTTTTTTATCAATTATCTGCCTACAGACCCCTTTTATAAGCGACTTATTCATTGAATGTAAATGTTTTAGTATTAATAATAAATCGTAGCAAAAATTAACATACCATTTAAATATAATGGGGATAAATAGTAAAACATATCAATTTAAATATAATATTATAATTTATTTGCAAACTTTTTTTTCTTGCTTTTTTGGAATTAACATTATTTCAATATTTATTATTCTAAATTTTTGTTGAGTGCATAACCAGTAAATGTTATTTAATATCTTAGATTAAAAATTAAAAAATGTTTTTGATTTTAGTATAACTAATTATATTTAATTATTAGTAAGAAGTTAGAAAATAATTTTAGCTTAGATTCGAAAATAAAAATATTTTTTATTATTGAGATTTAAGTTTATAAGACTCTTACATCGGTTGTCATTAACCTATTAACTATAATAATTCTTATTCTCAAATCTCTTTAAATGTTAAATTTAATTAGCAGATTAAAAAATTAGCAATATCAAGATTATAAGTATAAATAAACAAAAAAATGAATGGCACTTTTTGGAGAATATTTACAATGGATAAAATTAGCATAAATACAAAATTAGGTAATAGTAAGTATGCAATAGCAGCCTATATTTCTACTGCAGCTCAATGTACCTATATTTTGCAATGGTTTTTTTTAATTATTATTATTCTTAACTGATATTGACAGGGGTAGTATTTTGTTTGGAGATGGTTTAATACTCGCTATTTTTATACAAAAATAATTTTTGTTATACATTGTCTAACATAAAGAAAATGTTTTTAAAATTTTACTCTCTTTAACTAAATTGATTCAATACATTGAGTAATTTTATTCAAATAAACTAAATACATGAAAAGTATTTGTTTTAACTTATCTCTTTACATAAATTAACAATAAATTAACATAAATGTGTTAATTTATACAAGTGTGCCCTCAAATACACCAAATACTACACTAGAGTCTATCAAGGCATCACACGTGTAGAGATTGTGTCTATGCATATCTATTTATAACGTAATTCAGTATACATAGTTTAACTGCTTATAAATTCAGTGATATTGAATGATGTATTAGGCAATGCTCTTTGATAGCGATCAGGTTCTTTATTTATAATAATTTTAATTTTTTTAATCTGAAAAATTTGAAATGTTATATTTTATTTTATGTCCTTTGTTTTTACAGTAAAATTGAATAAACAATAATTTATTCATAGTTACGAAGTATTAATAATTATAATTAAACACCTTATATCAAATTTGGATAAGAATATTTTTGGCATTAATATAGATTATATTTATCGGTACTCTAATATATTGGTATCTTCTATCCATTATACTCGATGTTCCTTCATCATATAAATTATTATCGATGCGGAATAACTCAACTCAACCCGAAACATCTGGTCTAAACTATGAAATCCATAGGCATTAATCTATTACTATAAATCTGTCCGCTAGCATTGTCTAATGTAAGAATTACATATAATACATCTATGGACACAAAGGGATATTTTTTCAATTGTCAACGGTGTTATGAGATATCTGTCATATCAGTGAAGTATAAGAAGTTTAATTTGAACAAAAACGTAAAATGATGAAAGCACTGGAAAAGGGTTATGTACTCAAACGTAAAATAGTAGTGTCCACGTAGGTGAGAGACTTTAACGCCCCACCCAAATCGTACGTGTTCGGTGTGTTTTGCAATGCTCAACACTTCAATTACCTCCAGAGAAAGTTCACACTGTACGTCGAGTAATATTCTGTTTGTTGAACGATTGGATTTCAATATAATGCGAAATTAATTACTGTTTGTGTACACATTTTGTTAAACACATTTTGTACAATATTATGATTGTAATGTGTTTTCGTGGTGTGACAATCAATTTCTTTTTTGTCGACTCGGCGGAATTGATCGAGCTGTACAACGTTTGCTTTTTCAAAACAAACGTCATAACGTAGTGTGTAGAATTTTTACCCGCACTCGCGATCGAGGGAAGGACGTGCCAGAGCCAAACGAGCACGTGAAGTTTGCTGGTCCCAAGGCCTCGGCGTCTGTATGGCATAACACAAACAGCGAGTGCACTTCACTCTAGTTCCTGCGCCGCGCCAGTGCGTTTGTACTTGGGTGAATAACCATTGCGCTACGTTCTCTCGTCCAAGTCGTGTCGCTCCGAGTTGAACCGTTCAACGATTCGTCATTTTATTAAGGTAAAAAAACACACACTCTTAAACAGTATTTTTAATATTAATATGCTTTTTATCTTGACTAAGAACTATGAACTATGATTATAATTGTTTTTCACATGTATTTTTGTTTATAAAATTTTTAAAAATGTGTAGTAATTGATCTACGTATATATCGATTTGTCTGTATTCGATCAGTATGTCCGTCTATATTATTATATTGTTAGTAAATAATATGAGAAATGTAATACATGTGGTGTTCGATTATACTTTTAATAACTTGTATATTAAACGATAATAAAAACAATTTCTTCTATATAATTTCGAATTAAATATTTAATAATAATTTTCGATACTATCAATTTTTATATTATACATATATACCTATCAGAGTGTTAAATATTACAGTATTCAACATTTTCTATAATGCACAGTATTAACAGTGGAATAAGTATTGGAAGTGCATCATTATTATTTATAGCCTTTACTATGAATTTAAAGAGTTGAGTAGGAGACTGTAAATCCGTGAGCTATAATGCGAATTTGGTTAAGATCTTGAATGTTATTAACATCTTGGGTGGATATTTGTTTTTTTCGGGTTTGACCCTAGGAATAGTTCAAGCTAAATAAAGTGCATAATATATAATATTTAAACAAAATACTTATAATACACCTATGGGTCATGTCTAAAGTAGTAATGTTTTGATTATGGCGGTTAATTTACGTATGTATGCTGCCTGTATACTATTTTAATGAGCTCGATATGATTAAGCGCAAGTATTTCGTAGGATGAACAAAATTATCTTCACACAATAGAATCTTGCCATATGTTAGATCTAACCGATGGTCTCTATTAATGGTCTTGAAGAAGAGCATTACGTGTAAAGGACAAAATCGTTAAGCGTGTAATTGTTTAGGAGGTGTTCTCAAAATAATAATGGACGAGGTTACATTGCGGAAATGCTCAGTGGGCGAAATATATTACTGCATAACCATGATTTGACTGTGTCCTTCTATTTTTTGGAATAATAGTCATTTTTCTAATATGATCATATTTATTACTGTGTTGTTTTGACTCGTCACTAGTGTCAAGATTGAAATGAACTCACCGGTAATCAACCTATGAATAGTTATCATTAAGTTTTTGTTAAAATTTAGGCGTATGAGTTTATATTAGAAAGATATAGATAATGCAGATACCAGTGTTCGGTCGTGTGTAACGTGCCATAGTTGATCCACAATTATTAATTTGCTGGACGTCGTAACTGTCGAACGTCATTTGATAGAGAACGGTTTGTGGGTCAAGGAAATCAGGGGGGAATAGCTTAATCGGCTATGGAATTTGCCTTATTATTAAAAAATTGTTTGAAATGTTTTCTTACCTTACCATAAAATTATGGATTCTATTATTATTTTAACTTTTAGTACAATGAACAAACAATAATTTCTATAAAAAATGTAGCAAATAATAGTAAAATACAAGTCAATAGTCAACGTCAAATACATATATTTCGATAAAAAAATCCACGCTTAGTAGTGCTTGCGCAGAATTTGTAAACCAGTTTAGCGACTAGTTACTATAATATTTTAATGGGAGTTCACCTATAGGTAGTTGATACTTTATCTTAAAATCATGTAATCATATTATGTTGGTAATTTCAAACTTTATACCAAAGAAACGCACTCGTCTGTATCGTATGGCCTACTTAAAAAAACGTATAGAGTTAAAGTACAGAAAAAAAAAACTAATAAAATAATCATTTATTTAAAAATAAAAATACTCTGTATTGATATATGCTAATAGTTTATAATAAATACTATGCTAATGGTCGAAGAGTTTTATTAAGAAAAAATATACAGCTGACAAAATTACTTTCTTATAACAAATTCATTGTTATTTGCTAACGCCATTTCTCTGGAGTTATTGGTCGTCGTATGCAATAACAATTTATTATTATCAATACGGTGATTTTGACATAATATTTGATCAGGCGTATTTTGTTTTCGGAGGAAGGGATGATGTACGAGTAGATGATTAGTTACGCCTATAACTTGCCACACCAAATTTGTTTTGTACGTTTGTTTATTCGTTAGCACTATTTTTAAAACACCCACGATTTTAATAAATTATACGATTAAATAAAACACAAACATAAGTTGGTATATTTTCTATATATATATATATAAAAAAACACATTTATATTTACCCACTTTCCTCCCTAACAATTTACTACAAAATTATTGTTACACACTAAAATTTTTTTCTATTAAGTAGTTAGGTAATTTTTCATTGACTAAATAATAGAAAATAGTGAAAGTATGTAATACTTGTATTGAAGTTTAATGAGAAGCTGAGTACATTTTAGTTTTACCATAATATTTTGTGTACATTAGTCAATATACATAATAGTATAATACGTATTATATAGAATATGTATTATACTATATATATTATATACGTATGTATGTATGTTTATATTAAAAATATATTTTTCTTTAAAGATTACTACACGTTTTTTTTAAATACGTGCCCATACTCTTAGATACATTTGTAAAAATTGTTTCGATTTTTTTTTATTTCTATTTTAAATGTTTCAGTAGACTGGATTTTTGCTGACCCACCATGGCTCTCGATTTACATCGAAAGTACATCGAAAAGAAACAAGATAGTGCACCGTTGGTGCCTATTAAAGATATCGTCAACTCGAAATACTATCTAGATCCGTTGGAACTATTAGGGGAGCGCAATTTCAATGCACCCCGTGAAATAAATGAATCCGAGGTAGGAACTCCCGTACAAGAGTTCTTCCGGGACGCTGTTGTGTTGATCACTGGCGGTACTGGATTTATGGGCAAGGTGTTGATAGAAAAGCTACTACGGACCTGTCCACACATCAAACACGTGTACTTGTTAATTAGATCAAAGAAGGGCAAAAACGTGGAACAAAGACTGGAAGACATATTTGAAGACAGGGTAACTATCAATAAATTACGCATCATTTCCATCATACGCATTAATACTTATTTGCCAAATATAATATTCCCAGTAGTTCATTTATTATAGGAGTAAGTGGAATAATAAATTGGCATACCTTATACTTACGGCTAATACTTAGATACATAGGTACATAGATAGATACATAGCAACGACCATATTATCATATTTTTTGTAGAATCTCGAATGTAAATTAAATGTTAATCGAGAAATTTAAAATATTTAACTGATAGTGATGGCTAATAAATAATAGGACTCTTTAAATCAATAATGATAAAACCCTATTCTTTAAATAATTTTTTTCGATATTACAAGTAATTAAGTAGCACTAAGTTTCGATAATCTGTTTAGTTTTTCTTACTTACTCAATTTCTCAATTTACTCATCTTCAATTTCGTTATTAACCGTTAGAAATAATAATAAAAGACAATGTAAATTGGAAAAAAAGTAAAAGTATTAGCAATAAAAAATGTGTCCAGTAGTTAAACATTACAGTACCTATAGTGAGCTAGTACATAAAAAATAAATCGTAATCATGTTTTTTTTAAATTCGTTGTTGAAATACATGTTTTATTAAGAGAGAAAGCAAGTTTGGTCATTTATTAGTGTTGTCTTTATCTATGTCTCATTCACATTTTGTTGTAAATTTTAATAACGTTTAGGCAATATGCTTTAAAAATTTGATGTATTCATCGTATTACCAAATAGATTAAAAATGTAATTTTATTCCTTTAAGTAAGTAAGTGTACACGTCATTGTTGATTACTAATTTTTAGTAAAAAGTTCAAATTGTATAGTTTATTTTGTTGAATTTTTCAAAATGTTTGCATTAGTCGTTATCATTTTTTTAAGCATTCAGTAGGATAATATATATTAAACATAACTGTTTTAATAATTTAGTTAAACTATTTTTTTAAATAAGAATATAAATGAGTTTGAACATAATATTGATTTAAAAAAAAGAAAAGTATTTGAACAAACAAATGAAAGGCGTCGTATTTCAACACGCTTATTTCTAGAATATATGGTGCAACAACGACTTATACACATGTATCATCTCACTAAACCACTTTAAAATGTGAGGGGGAACAAATACAACTATCGAGAGTCTCTCGAAATTGAACTATGCCAAAATAGACGTTCAAATTATTCTATGATTATCTTGTTGGAAAAGAGTCCCATTGGAGCTTCATAGTGAGAATATCGGTCATTGCCTGAACGGTTAACATTAGGATTATCGCAATTTCATAACTCCATAATATGTACGTGTGCAGAATGGAAGTTGTTTGGTCGAGTTTACTTTATTGCTCAACGTCTTTACGGCCTTGAATCTCTCTTGTCTACGCCAGGAGGTGTTTATATTATGAGTATGACACTTTCTATTTCATATGATCCAATATTGGGTCAGCGGACTTTGAAAAAAATAATCTTAAATTACACATGATGTTCGAGTGGAATAGCAGTTAAGGGACATTAAGTAATCTGAATATTCATCATTGAATACATAAGTAGTGACCAAGATTACATCATGCAAAAAACTTCAATAATTTACTGTCGTATAATACAATACAATCAATTACCATCTATTGTTATCGGTAAGTATTGATTGAAACAAACGTTTTAGCGACAGCATGATATGGTACTTATTCAACCGACAATTAATTTTTTTAATACTGATTAAATCAGGGTTTTTTTTTAAAATTAATTTACATAAAAAACTATAATCAAAGTGTTATTATGTTAAATCAATACCATTAAACTTAAAAGTTTCAAGCGACTTTATATTGCCATTTATTAAAGCATAATAATAAAACAATGGATCATATTTATGTTATTTAACATTTTTTACTTGTATCTAGAGGTGCGAATTCGAAAAAGGATGATCAAACTCTAACTAATATAAATTGTTTGTCATTTTTAAGACAGGGGAGGGTGAGCAATCTAATCTGATAGGCTATGAACAATCAAATTAATAAAATACAAATATAACAAATATTTCTTTTGTATAACTGATCAGTGTATTAAAATCTTGAAGAATCACATTACTCTAAATTTTATACACGAATAATATATTTTTTTTCCAAGGGTATATAAGGTTATATGGTTGTTCAGAGTCACGGTAGTTTTTTATAGTTTTATTATGCTTACAAGTTTTTTTTTTAAATAATGAAATCCGGTTTAGTATAAGCGACACTGAGGGACAAAAAAATACATTTTTTCTGCGGCATAAAATTATTCTATAGTTTTAATATACACCTGAATTACACATACATGAAATGTAGTTACTTTGTTTAGATTGACTCTGGATCTCGAAATAAACTACATGTCAAAAATATCATATTTGTTGCGATCTACCCTTCTTAACTTGTATTATTCTAAGTACACCTAGCTAAAGGTTGTTTTTATCGAATGTGCTTACTTGTGATAATTATCCGACATGTCCAGTAATCCGGTGTACAATGACCGAATAGTTAAACAAATCGAAAAAGTCAACTGATTAAGTCCGAATGAATCGATTAGGTATATTAATAATAATGATTTTAATGTTGTTTAGCCCTTTTGCAGTATATTAATCAGTAGTCTTTATTTCATAAACTAGAGTCAATTCGGTAAATCTGATATTTTTTTCCCAGCACAGCAGTGTAGAATTATTCAAAATCGACTCCTATAAAACGTGCCGCAAAATCACTGTTCCCCAGAATAATCATCTCGAAATAAACTTTAAGACTATAAAAATCGACAACAGAGTCTTTAATATGCACTTTAAATACAATTAGATGGAAATATTCTACAGGCATCGTCAGGCAGGGCTAGATAATAGTATACCTGAAGTTAATATTTATATAACATAATATTAAATCAATATATTACGTTTATATTAATTTAAGAAAACTATTAAGGTTCATAATGCTTAACTGATAATTGGGAAGTTTCACATTACCTCTTACACTTATTATTATATATTTAACAAAACGTTTTAAGCTGTAAACAAGTTTCTGTCGTAATCACTTTAGTGTTTCTTAAATACTCATAGTTCAATCAACTAAAACGTATATTTTTTTTGTAGCTATGTTGTTGCTAATTTTCTTTTCTGATCGATTACAATTAAACTGCTGTTAGAATACCAATTGTTAATATACATAAAGAATTTCCCACCCTAAATGTAATTATAAATAGATTTAGAGTACCGTGAAACGCTCAATGATTCATAAGTCATTTTAAATACTATACTATACCATTTCTATACTTTGCAACACAATCATGTCTGATTGTAAACCAAGTTTTAATGTATAAATGTGTACATTCGAATAAAAGGCAAATATCATTCAAAACAAAATACTTATAATTTAACTTTTATTTGAACTTTTTTTTCTACACTTTTACCATTAACTATTGTAGTACAGATATTTTAATAGTTTTTTAATTTAGATTAAACAGATATAAATTAATTTTAGACCATTATAATTACTGTTTATTTTAAAACATTGATCAAACATAAACACATTTGTAATCTATGTTCATAAAGGATGCTGCCATAGATCTTTTCTATTAGATTACCATAGATTTTTGAAAATTATGTAATACATTAAACTAAATATTTTTGTACTTATCTTTTATGCTATTGATTTTCTTACACTTAAGTCACAATGCAACTTGCAAGTACAGGATTTTTTACTCATATCAGTAATTTAACTATTGGATTTATTTATGATAATGAAAGAAATATTAAAGTTAGAGTTTTGTAAGTTCATTTAATTAAAAAATACTATTTCAAAGTGGTTTTCCTTCTAATATTTGAGATGCTTGTTTTTTGTTGTACATCTGGTTATAGTTTATTGGCGGAACTATTGCTTTAAATACCATGTAGGCTAACCAGTTTAGCGACTTCTGATATATATATATATATACAAGCTGTCTCGACCCGGCGTTGCCCGTGTTTTAGAATAGACATACAATCAGCTGATCGGAGCTGATCACTGTATCCCTGTGGTATGAAAAACCATAGAGATGTATTGATAACTATTGATACTATTGATAATCATAATTAAACATTTAAATAAATTAAAAATTAAAAAAATGTTCTATCGGATCAAATTGTGAATCTAAACCTTTCTCGAATTAACTTAATCACGCACACAAAATTTCATAAAAATCTGTCCAGCCGTTTAGAAAGAGTTTGCATACTTACACACGCACAGAAGAAATATATATAAAGATATATATATATATATATATATATATATGCCTCTTTAATTTGGATTTAACAACCGCTGGTAGTTAATATTTTAACGAGAGTTGGGTATTTATTTTGAAATTTTTGCTGTCATCCTTTCATTACGATTTTTATAATGTTGTTATACTGAAGTTCTACCACGTCAACCACATACATATTATTGCGGTTTAAGTAATTATCATAAATCGTTTGTGAATACTTTATATTTTTTCTTAACATTTGCAGTGGTCTCTTTAGGCCGTGAAGGTGAAATGTCAAGTTTATCTACAATTTTAACCGGTTAGCGTATCATCAGGTATAGCATAGCTTGAATATTTAATTAAATATTAAGTATTTAATCTATGGTTATAGTTATATTACTGATTAGTTTTCAGTTGAACTCTACCCTGAGTTCGACAATACCTTCTCTGCCAATGAGGTTAGGTTAGATATAATTATTTACCTGCAAAAAACTAGTTATGTGAACACGTTTATTCTTTTATTATAAGATGGAAACTAGATTATAATGGGGAAGTGAATCCAGTTACAAGTTTTTCTTGTGCTACCAATAACCTGATATTGGGTGAGAAACTCTTGATATATTATTATAAAACGTATTACCTGGTTTGTTAATTTACACCGTGATAAGTCCACTTCTTATAATACAACACACATATTTGTACCAGAGGGCATGCCCATAAATTAACCCACCACACCACCCTCTTTCCCATGGGTGTGTATGTAAAATGTTTTATCATAAATAGACAAAATAACTGTTTATTTAGAATCCCTAGAATTATATTAGCCTATATTTGTAATTATTATTGACAATTTTAGAACGTGATTGATTACTTGCCGATTTATTTTTATCATTTTTGTTTTTACTATGAGACACTATAGAAAATACTTTAAATATTACCTTATGTTTATAATTTCAGTTGTTCAAACGGTTAAAACACGAAGTGCCCAAGTATCACCATAAAATTTCTGGCATAGCCGGTGACTGCGGTTTGCCAGGCCTAGGATTGAGTGTCACCAGCCGGAATACGTTAATTAATGAAGTTACTATTGTTTTTCACGGTGCCGCCACTGTGCGGTTTGATGAACATATTCGGGTAGCAATGAGCATTAACGTATCGGGAACAAGGGAAATGCTGAATTTGTGTAGAAAGATTACTAATTTAAAGGTAACACATAAAGTCAATAGGTATAGCGTTACACTTAACGCATAAAATATGTGCACTAACGTTAATTTCATGTTAAGGTTTTGGCCCACGTTTCCACAGCTTTTGCAAATTGCAATCGACTGTTGGTAGAAGAGAAATTCTACGAACCTATTGCTAACTTTGAGGACGTCCTTGAACTAGTTTCTTCTAAAGACGACCAAACCCTTCAAGACATGACCCCAGAGTAAGTGACGTCAATTGAAAAAAATCAATCAATCGCTAAATGAAAATATATTTTTGCAGTATAATCGGGAATTTTCCGAATACATATGCGTTCACTAAATCCTTAGCGGAGGATGTCATTCGAAGAGAAGCCAAAGACCTTCCTATGTTGGTATTCAGACCCACTGTAGGTAAGTTCATACAACGTTATTGTTAAGGTATTACCCAGAAAACATCAATAAAGTGCTCCAATTATTGTTTATGAAACTTTCTCAGCTAATAGTGTCCATGTTCATACTTTATAATTACCTATTATGGTTTTTATAGTTATTGCAACATACCGTGAACCAGTAAGGGGTTGGATCGATAACGTTTATGGTCCTACTGGACTCATAGTCGGAGTCGGCACAGGAGTTTTACACACATATTATGGAGATTCTAAAACTATTACTGATATGGTTCCGGTTGACATGGTTGTTAGTGCACTAATTTGCTCTGCCAAAGAAGTGGCAACTGAAAAGTAAGTACAACTTTCAACGTATTCTACACATAATTAAAATACATCTATACAATGTTTGTATAGATTAAACTTATTTAAAAAATGAAAAAAAATGCGCAGCACATGGATTACCCATTTCTAATGTAAATTGGCTCGCTGGCCTCGAAAAACACATTAACATATTTTTTCTATGAATTGGTGCTCTAGATATTAGTGTTAAATTGTTTTTTCGCTTTTACCGGAGATAGACTAAAATTTTAGTAAAAACATCTCGAGTTGGAATCACCAAATCCAATCGCACAAGCTATAAAGTCCAAAGTAACTGAATTACCAACAAACGTTTCTCACAATTTAATCTATCGGTTAAATAGTTCAGCTACAGTCGATCGAAATAAGGGAAAACCCGATACTGTTTTAACGATACTGGTGTTACTGTTAATTCATTTTTTGAAATGGAGCTGACATTTTTACGAAGGAAACAAGCAAGTATTGAATAACATCTATGGGTAATTTGAAAAATATCATTAAAAAAATTAAGGCCATAAAACTACATTATCAAGGATTCTAGAATTAAGACATAATAGAGACCAATGTAGTCTCTCAATGTTTGGTTTCTCATAAATCATAATAGAACTTAATACCGATAACAACAAAATTCAAGGGAGACTTGAAATCATTTAGTACACTCGTATCATATTAAATTACTTGAATACTAATTAATAAAACGCATATAAAAATTGAAAACCATAAAAACGTAATAATCAATTATTATTTTTTTTTGTAAACTAATCCATTGAAAAAAATGTGGAATGTGTTTTTTGAGGCCTGTGCGCCAATTTTCATAGGTAGTACATCTGTTGCTCAAAATGGCTGTAAACTAGTGTTATTAGATAACCGACGTCAATTTATATTTGCAGATGTGCTTATTATTTTTTAACACATATTTAAACGTCTGATGTTTGTGTTTTTTAGACCCAAAGAAATACCGATATTCACATGCTCAAGCGCTAGACAAAAGCCAGTTAGATGGATTGACTTCATCGAGATGAATAGACGTCATGGTATTTACTGGCCGACTATTCGAGCTATTTGGTACTATTCTTTCATGCCTACCAATAACATATACGTCTATCTTTTGCTGAAATTCATGTGTCATATCATACCTGGATTTATATTGGACACCCTTGCCGTTCTAGCTGGTCAGAAGCCGATGTTAGTAAAAAAAATATTTTACATTTTTATAAGATACGGTTTAAGATTAAATCGAATGGGTTAACTATTAACACTATACAACACTTATTTAAAACAAGTATCAAAATAAATACATTTTTTTTAGACTTTTAAGTTAAATACGAATCTGGCTTGAGAATTGTTCTAGCACATCTAGTTATTATTTAAATCGCCGCCAAAGTTGTTAAAAACTCCGCTTTGTGGTATTTTCAGTGTGTTTTGTACGTTTGTATAATTTTTTATAATAATGTACTCTAATAGAGTATTTTATTGTAGTTTTTTTTGGCTGAATTAAGAACTGGCCTCAGAATTGTAATAAAATGTTTAGTTTTCTTTGTATATAAAATCAGAAAACGTTAATAATATTTAAACGCTGAAGACGATTTAGAAGACAGATTCGGATTCACCGAGAAAAACTATTATATGTTTTACATTATTAAGTCCTTGTCAAAAAAAAAAAAAAATTGTTGTATAGTGTAATTTTTGAAAATGTCATACTCGGCCCCATTTACTTAATTATGCAAACCGTTGCTAACCTAACCGTGTTGTATAGTCTATTGAAGATTTACAAGAAGATCGATAAGGTGCGTGATATACTCGCATACTTCTCCGACAAGGAATGGACGTTCATAAACGACCGGACTCTAAAATTGTGGGATACGCTCGATTCGCAGGACAAGGAGCTGTTCAATTTTGATATACATCAGTTGTCCTGGGAGTACTTCAGTCAAGCGCACTGTCTCGGTTTAAGGGTTTATCTGGTGAAAGATGATATCCATACGTTGCCTAGTGCCCGAAAGAGATGGGAAAGGTAAAATATTTGTTTAACAAAAACTAAAATAGTTAGACATAAGTGTATTTACTACTTCTATACTATTATGTTTATTTTTCAAATATAGGTTACACCTGGCGCACAAAGCATTGATGGCGGTCACCTACGGGGTTATACTGTGGTTCGCTTGGACAATACTCTCGTTTGTATTCAGACTGTTTGTGTGATATAATTTCTAGCTGTTTACCATGAATAATAATTATTATACAATGAATGACTGCTGCATTATACATATTTTGCTTAAGAAATGTGATTTTTAGCAAATGTAAAATATTATGTCTTAAAAAAATTTTGATGTTCAATTCGGAGTTGCGTTGGGTTGTTACTCAAACAACATATCAAACAACAATATAACAACAGCAACGTTATCATATTATTGTTTGATATTATATTAGTATTTCTAATTTGTTTTGTCTTTTATTTGTATAAATAAATAGGTTCGTCAATTCAAATTGAATCATTACAAAATATTAAACCCAATGGGTTTAATTTATGAAATTTTATATTATTTTAGTTTTGTATTATTAATTATTAAATATTAACCACGAAAGAATTCTCGAAATTTTTAAATAAATAAAAAAATAGAATTATATTTACGTAAAGTATAATACTGTATTATAAATAATATATTAAAGTGTGTACATAAATTCGTATACTTATGTACTTGTGTACTTATGCACTTCTTATTGAAAATATTATTGAGTGATAACACAATTTAATCAATTTCCTGAACTTCTGTAAATATATAAATTCACTTATATCTTGTATTGAAAAAGTTGATCTTTATTCAGCAAAAATTATTCTTTCTTTTTATGGGCTGTAAAACGTTTGGCTGAAATTGTAATATTTAGTTGTTTATTTGTAGTTTTCTTATTTTTTTAAAAATTATTACAATTAAGTCTTATATGAACTTTAATCAATGTTATTATATTTCTTCAAATAATTATTATTAACTATTGAATAAAATTAGGTTTTTTCACTATTATCCAACTTTTTTTTAGTATTTTCCAATCAAATTGTATACATTTAAACTATGACTATGAAACTGTAAAAGTTATTTTCGATTTTTATACTTTATTGTTAAACATTATATATTGTAAAAAGAAAAATATAGATTTTATTTGATAAAAACATGATGATTTGTATTTTTTTTAGTAGTAGCAATATTAGTTTGTTACTACTTACTTATTAATTGTTACGTTTTGTATTGTCTTTAATCAATGAAATTTGTTTGTTTATCTTTCAAGTATGAACAAGCCCGGATTAACATTATCGTAGGCCTTGGGCACTTTTTTTTTATTATAAAATTATAAAATATCATAAAATATCATAAACTACCATAATATAGTAGTAGTTTATATAAAACAATATGATACTTTTATGGTATTTATATTTTATATTCTTATACACAGATGATTGCTTACAAATTTCATTAGATATACAATTATTAAATTCTTGTTATACACACTAAAAAAATGATACTTATCTAATAATAACTAATATATATATTTACAACAAAAGATAACTGATATTTGTGTAATATATTACTTAAAATATTTTTTTTTTTTTTTGGAAAATGTATTAATGTATCAAATTAAAATTGTATCTGTCTTATTTTACAGCGTCATCCATCTGATGTAAGACATTAATTTTCTGAGAAAATATGAATATTTTGAATATAGTTTTTTACTATACTTGTAGGTACATATTTTACTATACTTTTCAATACGTTGAACATTTTTATAACTATCTTTAAAACGTTATACTAGTATGGATCTTAGTTTTTTAAATGGGAACATATGTTTTTAATTTCATTTATATGTAGACAAAATTGTGTAAAAATGTTAGCGTTTGATTTTTTAATTTTCATAAAAAAATTTTTTTTTTAATTTTCATCAATCTGTTTGTTGGCTATGACTTTGCAAAGTCATCTTCTTCATATGTCTTCGGTTTTCCGAATTCCAGTAAGCTATGAAACTCATATTAATGATCGCATTGTCCGATAGACGAGAACACCAATAATCAAGCAAAATGAAATGTTTTGAGATAATGATAGACAGGTGGACCTTATCTACCTATTCAAATTCAGAGACGGTGAATATTGATCTTAAATTCAAATCTTTACAATGTCATAGCAAATGAAGAAATTGATGAAAATTAAAAATTTAAATCATAACAATTTTTAACAATTTTTGTCTTCATATTTATAGAGTTAAAAAGTTGCATGCGATCTGTTTTTGACCTTTAAGACTAAAAAGCCAGACAAAAATGTCGACTACTTAGGATGATGCGATTTCAATTCTGCAAAGTTATAAATGTGTTCTTTGGCAACTTCACTAGGCTATGAAGGGAACAGATTTTTGATTTTTTTTATGTAAAAAAATTAGGTTTAAAATTGACAAATTTGCAAATTTATTTTTGTTAACTACAAAAAAATACAATTTTTAAATGAAAGTCGGCTTCCTACATAACATAGTAAAGTAGCCAAAGAACTCAAATCTCTTTACAAAATTGAAATTTGATCATCCCAAGTAGCCGAAATTTTGTCTAGCTTTTTGGTCTAAATCATATAAATTAAAAATAATACCTTGAAGCTTATAAAAATTAACCGGTAAATTAATTGACATGGTCAAAATTTATTAATACCATTTTGTTTTTAATTTGCCTATACAAAACTCCTTAAAAATAGACAGCATTCAATCCCCATTTGTAAAAACCGAGATCAGTACTAGTTTTATGTTTTAGAGATAATGATAAAAATGTTCAACGTATTAAAAAACATAATTAAAATATGGAAATTAGTATAGGGAAAAAATGATATTTAAAATAAATATTTTTCTGAGAAAATTAGTGTCTCTTACATCAGATAAACCTGTAGTCTCACTTTTATGTCTTACAGACATTTGACACAAAAATCTATACAGAGTGATTTTTTTTATCTCGGACCATTCAATATCACACTGGGTTTAATTAATAATTTAGTTTTTCTATAAGAGTTTAAAAGTTAGGACGAGAGGGGAAGTGCGTGCAAATAAAAATAATACTACACTCCACCTTTCCTCCTCCCCTAAGCTTGAAACTGCATTAAACTCAAAAATAGTTAACCAAAACTGGTTTTCGACCAGTCAAAATGTTTAGTACATTATTCTCAATTTAAAAAGTTAATGAAATGTATGCGTTACCAAAAAAATCACCCTGTAGAATGTCCTGTAATTTTGGTTAGTTTGAAAAAATATGTCTAGAGTTACTACACAAATAATAAATTTACCAAGAATAGCTACAAGAAGTTTGCATAAGTTGTATGGACAAGGATACAACTTGCGCACACATTGTGCTAAAGTGATAATCAGCAAAACGACATTAAGTACCATTAAAGTAATTTATGTTTTAATAACAATAATTAAATTGTACAATTCATCTAATATTATTTCAATGGTTCTCACCTCTGTATCATTAGGCACATTGAGTTGGAAAAGAACAAAGATTAAATGGAAAATATATTTTAGATCAAGATAAAACAAAAAATTATAATCATTAATTGATTGATTACAATGTTATTAACTTTTATTCTTATCGTTACAGTAAAATAAACTAGATTGTAAATATGAATTGAACAATTTGTTACAGGTTTGTTGTTGATAGACATTACATTCTAAGTCAGTTGAGAGTCAATTAGGTAGGAATGAGATGTTGTTGATACCTTTGTAGAATGTGTAGATAATTTAATTTTATTAATTATCATTTTTTATACATTTAAGCATATTAATTTCAATAAGCACAAGGCTATGTTTTAAGTGAATCAGCAATGATGGGTTTCAATTGTATATCCTCCATTTAATTAGTTTAGATGTAAACAAAGCTAAAGTATAGATTGATTGTAACGATATGGAGGTCGAAATTCGCATAATTTAAAAAGTTAAAAGTTACAACATATTGTAACTTTGTATAATCAATGCTAAAAATTACTTAAATAAAATATTTTTTTATTATAAATTCTAGTTCCCCGTCTATATCAGACACTTTTCCTTGAAAAATTTTGGTCGCCTTACTGGTAAAACAGAATAAAATTAAGACCCTTGTTTAGTTGCATACGCTAACCTTGTAAAAAGCAGACAAACCATGGATAGTACTGGATTCTGCCACGCGTGCAAAATTCTAGTTTTATTCCTGTACTCGCATAAATTATGTCAATTTTTTTTTTAATTAAAATTTTGTTTTTTTGTTTACTATCTGAAATTTGGTTTTTAAATTATACGAAAATCATAAAAAAAAATAATGCATAATTACTAACCTACCATGTTTTTGGTTTTTAAACTATTGGTAGTTGATATTTCCAAACATTTTAAGAGGACGCCATACCGGCCATTTCTAAGGATTAAAGTATAGGCAATTTTTCGAAAAATTTAATTTAGAGTTTAAACTATAATGCATACTTATTAATCAGTAATGAGGATACTTTGTTGATTGCCATTTTTTTTGTCAGACTATCACAGTCATTTCTATAGGATAAATTACAATTTTTTCCCTTCAAAACTGCTTTGCGCGAATTAATTTTTCTCAGGCTTCATATATAGTTAAGGAAAGAAATTCATACATATTATTTATGACAAAATTATCTGTGTTCCATCATCCGTATTTTTTCGATTTACCTAATACAACCTAATTAATTAGTTATTCATTAACTGGCTGAAATATTAAAAAAAAGCAATGGTAGAACACAGACAATGTTGTTGTCTATATTATGTAAAAATGTGGTTTCTTAGTTTTGATTATAGCCTTTGTAAAATTAATCCGCGCAAGGTGGGTTTTTTGAAGAAAATAACGGGTGTGTGGCTTCCTCTTAAGTGTTTATATACTATTAAATCTTTAAAATATAAATATTGTATAAGTAACCGTTAACGGCGTTACAATAGTGTAACGAGTTCAAGGCAAGTTATAATTATGTTATGTTTAACATAATTATGGTTTACAAATATAAGACCATGAAGAATCTGCATAATATGAAAATGATAGTTATTCTTAACAAAAATTTAATTTTTCATAAATATTATAATTTTTTTTTTGTGTAATACAACTAATATTTCATATTGGGAATAGAAAATATTAAAACATGTTTTTTCGGAGTTTGTGTATTTCTAGAATTTAGTAAGCTTTCACAAGCAATTGTTATATTATGTGACGTCAGTACACTCAACGGGTTACTACCGACTTAAGTATTTCATAATAATTTCTGTTACTTTAAATTGTATAGTTGGAACGTGAGTTAGATATTGTTTATGTATAATTTGTAAAACTAGTTTTTCGTGTAGAGCCCGTAAGACAGGTTAGCGTAATGTTTATGATATAGGACCGCGCATATACACACTATACAAGTCTGGCGGGCATCTAAAATAAAATAAAATCTAAGGTTTGTTTGCGGAAAGAGTTAACTCAAAATATTATATCAATTATTTGAAATTTTGCTGTAAAAATCCGCAATCTTCACACTGTAAACAAAAAACAATAATTAGGTCAATGAGCAAAGTTTTATCTTAAAATATCAAAATCGACACAGATTTGTTTTTTTTA